GCAGTGGTGGCTCACGCTTGTAATCCCAGCACTTTGGGAGGCCAAAGTGGGCGGATCATGAGGCCAAGAGATCAAGACCATTCTGGTCAACATGGTGAAACCCTGTCTCTACTAGAAATAAAAAAATTAGCTGAGTGTGGTGGCATGTGCCTATAGTCTCAGCTACTCAGGAGGCTGAGGCAGGAGAATCACTTGAACCCAGGAGGTGGAGGTTGCAGTCAGCCAAGATCTTGCCACTGCACTCCAGCCTGGCTACAGAGCGAGACTCCATCTCAAAAAAATAAAGATACATAAGTGTAAATCTAACAAAACATGTATAGAATTGTACACTGAAAACTACTTAACAAAGATGAAATAAATAAATTTAAATAAATTGGAAGATTCAATGTAGGAAATACGTCACTTTACCCCCAGTTACTTTCTGAGTTTGGGCTGGGTGTGGTGGCTCATGCCTGTAATCCCGGCACTTTGAGAGGCCGAGGTGGGCAGATCACCTGAGGTCCAGAGGTCGAGACCAGCCTGGCCAACATGGCAAAACCCCATCTCTACTAAAAATACAAAAAAAATTTAGCTGGGTGTGATGGCAGGCACCTGTAATCCCAGCTACTCAGAAGGCTGAGGCAGGAGAATTGCTTGAACCTGGGAGGCAGAAGTTTCAGTGAGCAGCAATCACCCCATTGCACTCCAGCCTGGGCAACAAAAGCGAAAATTCTATCTTTAAAAAAAAAGTGGGTTTTATTCCTATCAAAATCCCAGCAAGATTTTTTTTTTTTTTGTAGACAATGACAGTCTTATTCTAAAATATATATGGAGACCAGGCATGGTGGCTCACGCCTGTACGCCCAGTACTTTGGAAAGGCTGAGGTGGACAGATTACTTGAGGCTAAGAATTTGAGACCAGCCTGGCCAACATGGCAAAACCTGATTTCTACTAAAAATAGAAAAATTAGCTGGGCATAGTGGTGTGCACTTGTAATCCCAGCTATCTGGGAGGCTGAAGCACAACAATCACTTGAACCCAGGAGGTGGAGGTCACAGTGAGCTGAGATCATACCACCGCACTCTAGCCTGGGTGATAGAGCAAGACCTTGTCTCAAAAAAAAAAAAATGTATATGGAAAAAACAACTCGTTTTGAAAAATTAGAAGTAAGTAGGAGGAATCAGTATTTTGATTTCCAGGCTTATAACCACAGTAATCAAGACCTGGTGACTGGTGGAAAGATAGATCAGTGGAACAAAGAGAGAATCCAGAAACAGACACAAATGTGCCCAACTGATTTTTGACAAAAGTCAAAAGGAATTAAGTGAAGAAAAGATTGCTTTTTCAACAAACGTTGGAACAATTGGGCATCTATAGACAAAAACAACCTCAACCCAAGCCTCGTATCTTATACTAAAAGTAACTGAAAATGGGTCGTGCAATCGAATGTAAAAATAGAATGATGAAACGTTTAGAACAAAGCATGGAAAGGTCTAGGGCTAAGCAGTGTTCTTAGAGCAACAGCAAAAGAGCAGGAGCAAAAATGTGTAAGGTGGACTCCATCAACATTTCAACTTCTGCTCTACGAAGGACCCTTCTGAAGGTACAAAAAGATAATCTACAGACTGTGGGAAAACACTGGCAAGCCACATATTCCACAAAACCATGTACTATATATGATTTGTCTTTTATGCTGAAGCTAAAATTGGTTTATTATTTGCTGAATGTCTCTGTTTCTAATTTACCCTCAAACTTCCCAGGAGAACTGAAAATCTCTGAATACGATCCCACCTGTCAAGCATCGTCAGCTTCATTTTCTTCTTAAAGACATTTCCACTGAGCCTGTTTCCTGCTTCAGTCCAGACCAGTCAGCCTGTAGGCATTCTGTATATTTACCATGCTAGGACATCCTTATCCCACTTCCTTAGAACTTCCTCTATCTCTCTTTCTGTGTTAGATCCCATCTTCTGTTTTATCCTTTTTTCCCATCCTCCCTCACTTCAGGGAAGAAGGAACTCTTCCGGTACTTTGCTGGCTAAAATTAAAAGGACTGAAACAGCACAAGCCAGGGTGTCGAGTAGTGGGACCCTCACACAGTGCTGGTGAGTGTGTAAATTGGTGCAGCCACTTTGGAAAGTGGTTATGTATTCTCTACTAAAGTTGAAAATTCCCAAGAACCCAGAAGCTTCAATCAATAGGCATTTTGTACCCAAAAGAAATACGCACACGTACGTACCAGCACACAAGTACAGAATATCAAAGCGGCATTAATCTCGTTGCAAAAAAATTAGCAAAAATCCAGATGTCCACTGGCAAGAGAATAAATAGGTAAAAGGCAGTATATTCATGCAATGTAATAAACAACAGTGAACATGATCCACTATATTTATATGCAGTAAGGTAGAGGAATCTTGTAATTTTGAATGAAAGAAGCCAAATACTGAAAATATTATATGATTCTATTTATATCCATTTAGAAAACCAGGTGAAAGTACACTGTCGTGGTAAATGTTTAAAGGTGGAAGCCTAGAAGTGATTACTTAAAAAGGAAGGACTGTGTTTAGCTCTTGGTGCAGTGAGGGGGCGGAATGATAGGGAATGTGGCATGGAAGGCCTTCTAGGAAAATGGCCATGGTCCCATGGGTGCCTGCCTAGTGATAAATTATTGAACTGAATGTGTTTTCTCTGTGCCCTTTTTGTGTATGTGTTATGTTTCACAATATGAATGGTTAAGAAAATGAGCAAGGATGAAAACAAACCCCAGATTATATTAACCACTGCATGGACAAAACGTCAGCATTAGCAGGCATTGGTGAGGATGTGGGTTAGCCTGAACTCACACCCTATTGGTGGGAGTCTAATTGTTTGAGTATTTTAAAAACGGTTTGATCTAACCTAGTGATGTTGTGTGTGCATGTACCACAGAGCAGAACAGTTCTGCGGGTGTGCCCCATGGATCTCCTGCTGGGGCTGGAGAGCTGGCATCTCCCTGGAGCCTGTTCTTTTCCTGCTGAATATTGGGAGTTTCAGGGAGGAAGTGCAGAAACATGAAGCCTGTTGAGGCCCTAAGTTCAGAACCTGCAAGCTGTCACTTCTACCCATATTCTACTGCCGAAAGCCAGTCGCAAAGCCCACCTGATGTGGGGCAGGGGGTGGCAGGGGCTAAATCTTGAGCTAACCTGAGAAAGTGAAAGCTGAGCTCCTCGGTTGAATACCAGCACATTTCTTGGCTCAGCAGATGCTGTATTACCCCTGCCCCAGTATTTAGGAGAGGTGACATGTTGATACTGGAGGTTTTATAAGTGTTGTCTCAGCCTCGACAGTATTTCATGCAGTGAAAAATTCCTTGTTACATTTATAAATGGCCAATATTTGTCTGAAAAGTATTTGTGCTTTGAGTTGGCTGCTGTAAACATATTATATGTTGGAAAGTAGGACACTTCCTTTTTTTTTGAAACAGAGTCTTACTCTGTCACCCAGGCTGTAGTACAGTGGTGCAATCTCTGCTCACTGCAACCTTCACCTCTCAGGTTCAAGCACTTCTCCTGCCTCAGCCTTTCAGGTAGCTTGGATTACAGGCGCATGCCACCACATCAGGCTAATTTTTGTATATTTAGTAGAGATGGGGTTTCACCATCTTGGCCAGGCTGGTCTTGGACTCCTGACCTCGTGATCTGCCCACCTCAGCCTCCCAAAATGTTGGTATTACAGGCATGAGCTATCACACCCAGCTGAGCACTTCTTAATCTAAGGAAAATAACTTGTTTCGTGTTCAGTGTGATTTTGAATAAAATTGCATAGATTTTGCTGATTTTTAGTAGTTTTACCTCTAGGACTTTATTACTTTTTATTTATGTATTTTTGAGAGAGGGTCTCACTGTGTTGCCCAGCCAGGCTGGCCTCGAGCTTTGGGCTCAAGTGATCCTCCTGCCCTGGCCTGCCGAGTAGCTGGGGCTGCAGGTGGTGTTACCACCACACCTGGCGAGGACTTTACTTTTTCAAAGCTGCTTTTCTCGCAGTCACTCTGTTCTCTTCCCTCTCACTGAGACTCTCATACTGCTTTTTAAAATACAGGAAACACATTTTTTTCCTTCTATGGTTTTCTTTTTCCAAGCCGCTTTTACTCGTTCAGCATTAATTGAACACCTATACCTTATTGGCATTGTCAATACTGTGATGATAAGACGCAACTCTTGCTGGATAAAGTCAGCTCCAGTAGCAGGAGGCGGGAAAACCAGATGAGTCCTGGAGGGTGGCGCTGGAGTTGGATCTTGATGGATGAGCAGGAGTTTGATAGACCATGAAGTGAGGCAGGAAATATCTGACTGTGGGAGGAAAAGGTGCCAAGGCACAGAGAGCTAAGATAACCCATCTCCATGGGTACACCAACGTGCGTGATTCTCAGTTGATTTACTTTTTTTTTTTTTTTTTGAGACAGGGTCTTGTTCTGTTGCCAGGCACCAGGCTGGAGTGCAGTGGTGTGATCTCCGCTCACTGCATCCTCCGCCTCCTGGGTTCAAGCAATTCTCCTGCCTCAGCCTCCCAAGCAGCTGGGACTACAGACCCATGCCTCCATGCCCAGCTGATTTTTTATATTTTAGTAGAGACGGGGTTTCACTATGTTGGCCAGGATGGTCTTGATATCTTGACCTCATGATCCACCTGCCTCGGCCTCCCAAAGTGCTGGGATTACAGGCGTGAGCCACCGTGCCCGGCCCCTCAGTTGATTTACTTTTATCTCATCTTGCAATCCACCTGCAGTTTTCTCTAACGTAGAGCTTAGGTTTCTTCCAGTGTACTTTTGCTTTTTTATACATTGCTTTTAATGTATAAAATAGGAATTTGAAGTGTTCCTGATGACCTGGGTCGATAGAAATCGTTTTTGCTTTACTGTTAAACATGCTGAAACAGGCTACTTTGAACAGAGTCATTTTCCTGTGTTCTGAATTGTGTCACCCAAGCGTACCCGCGGGGTCGGATGCCTGTTAACGGTGAGGTCTGTCTGTGTTCCTCTGTCTAGATTAAGTTTGACAGTGTGGAGGTGTGTGTCTGCTGTGAGCCGCAGCACCAGTCGTCCGGCTGCAGCAACCTCGGGGAGACGCTGAAGCTGAACCCGCTGCAGGAGAACTGCAACGCCGTGAGGCTGACCTTGAAGGTGACCCCGCCGGGCGCTGCCTGTGCATGCATTTCCATTCCGGGCCTTACAGACATTTTAGGAACACTTACTAACGTACAGATTTCTTTCAGCTGGTAACATGCCGAGGGTAGAGTTTGATTCTGAAGGTGTTCTGTCTGGATCTTGCTTTGCATTTTCACCATTTCATTGTCCTGCCTCTGACATCTGCAGAGTCAGATGCCAGTGGTTGAAAGAGGTCTTTACAAATCATGACGGGATGGATTCTGCAGCTTTTCTGACATTTTTGGCTGTTAACCATCAGGGAACAGATGGGGATTGATTTTGCTTTTTAAAAGATATTTGGAGGGAAAAAAAATCTTGACAATCTCGTGGCGGTCTATTTTCATGTATAACATCTGATCTTTTTAAAAAACGATTTGGAAAAATTGTTTATATTACTTCTTTCTTCCAAGTATTTTATTCTGAAAAGCAAAATTGACTACTTAAAAATACATGAGAACAAGTGAACCCAATTCTGTTTCCCTTGAGTGAAACTGTGCCAAAACGTTTTTAAAAGACGTGCCACAGGCCAGGCGTAGTTGCTCACGCCTGTAATCCCAGCACTTTGGGAGGCCGAGGCGAGTGGATCACTTGATCAAGGTCAGGAGTTTGAGGCCCACCTGGTGAAACCTCATCTCTACTAAAAATACAAAAATTAGCCGGGTGTGGTGGCGCGTGCCTGTAATCCCAGCTACTTGGGAAGCTGAGGCAGGAGAATCATTGGAACCTCAAAGGCTGGGGTTGCAGTGAGATGAGATCGTGCCACTATACTCCAGCCTGGCGACAGAGAGAGATTTCATCTGAAAAAATGAATAAATAAATGTAGAAAGATGTGGCATAGTCCCAGGAACTCTTAGTTGGTGGTCAAGTTGCATTTGTGGTATGAGGGAATGCAGTACGCAGGGGCCTGGGAACTGCAGAGGGCCGCCTCGGATCTGGGGAGGGAGGAGGAGAGCGTTGACATTGAGTCCCTGCGGTTAGTCCTCCATGGGTGGTCACCGGCTGGTAGACAAGCAAAGATGTACAGAGAGGATGCAGCTCATCTCCAGGGTAGGACTGGGACTGGCTCACGGCACCTGCCATGTTTTGCACAGAGGAATGGGCCAAGTCGAGTGGTCCCAGCAGCTCACCAGAGTGATCGATGCAGCGGGGTTGGAGAAATCTGGAACTGTGGCACTCCAGGGCCCATCCCGTCATGCCACCCACACTACCTACGCCCACATTTCTACCTCATTGCATCCCGGGATCTGCCTGGGTCAGTGCCTGAGGTCTGCCGCGGCCCTTCGCTGCCCTCCTAGGTGGGGACATAGGCAGCCATTGCTCACTCTGTGATCTCATTCTGACAACTGCTAAGTTGCTTCTTCAACCTGTGGACGTTTTCCTGAGCATGGGGATGCATTTGGGCCTCATGTGACCCCCCATTCCTCGGTTGGCTGACGGGTGTTCAGCCTGCCCTCTCAGGTCCTGGAGTTCCCCTTGGAGGCCTTCCTTCACTCACGGGACGCAGGACCCAGTTTTCATGACTCTCCAGCCCCTGAAGCGGTGACTGTGGCTTGAAAGGTAATGCTGGTGAACAAACAACACTGTCGCTGGGCGCAGTGGCTCACGCCTGTAATCCCAGCATTTTGGGAGGCTGAGGTGGACTGATCATAAGGTCAGGAGATCAAGACCATCCTGGCCAACATGGAGACACCCTGTCTCTACTAAAATTAAAAAAAAAAAAATTAGCCAGGCATGGTGGCACGCGCCTGTAGTCCCAGCTACTTGGGAGGCTGAGGCGGGAATCACTTGAACCCGAGAGGCAGAGGCTGCAGTGAGCCAAGATTGCATCACTGCACTCCAGCCTGGTGACATAGCGAAAAAACCACCACTGTCTCTAAGAATGCAGTCTCAGGTCTAGGGGGAGCTGGGGACCTTGTCTCACTCTTATTCACCGTTCTGGTACACTGGTGAGAAAAGCCCTTGGTATGAAGTGTCAAAAATGGCATAGAGTAGAGACCACTGATACCAAGAAGTTCAGTGAAGGCTGAGAGCCCAGCTAAATGACTGGCACGGGCTCATGGGTATTCAGATTGCCCAGGACACTGGTAAGAGTTGAAAGCACAAGAAATACTACAGCGTTTTAAACTCCTCAATGAATTTGTGTGCAAAGCCTGCTGAGAGGTAGGAGCTATCCAAGCTGGTGGCAGGAGGCTCAAAGCCGGCAGGAGTTGTGATTCAGGTGTGAGGCCAGTGGTCTGGAAGTGGCAGCAGTGGCTCAGGTGCTAGGAGAAGAGGCAGACTGCCCTTGTCCCCCACCTGAGGGCCTGTGCAAGGAGCAGTGGCCTTGGCAGGGACTGGCTCATCTGAGAGCAAGAGGACCAGGGACTACTGGAAGTGAGTATCTGTTTATTGCTGTCGTCCAACTTTGCTGCTTTCCAGATTTATCTTGGCTATCATTTCCTTTGCATTTCCATATCGATTTTAGAATCTGCTTGTTCAATTTGTGCTAAAATCCTGCTTGGATTTTGACTGAGGTTGCATGGAATCCACACATCACTCTGAAGAGACTAGACATATCCATGATGCAGTTCTTCATTTAGGTTGAAGTTTCTTTCTTCAGTGTTTCTTTTTTTTTTTTTTTTTTTCATCAGTCTTGTGTAATTTTTGGTGTATAGATCCTAACATTTTGTAATAGCTATGCTTAAAATATTCCACATTTATTGGTGCTTTCCTAGTGGTATTTTTTAATGGTCTGTTATTCACTGGTAACATACAGAAATTTGATTTTCGTTACCAGTCTTTTATCTGTGGCCTTGCTAACCTCACTTATTGGTTCTGGTAGCTCCTTTGCAGATTCTTTGCATTTACTTATGTAGACCGTCACATGCTATGAAAAGAGAGGCAATTTACATCTTCCATTCTCCGGACAAACAGAACCAGTAGGACAGACGTAGATCGATGAGAGGGAGTTCACTGGGAGAATTGCTCACATGGCCACGGAGACTATGAAGTCCTGTGACCGCCCATCTGTAAGCTGGAGACCCTGGAAAGCTGGGAGTTTGGCTCAGTTCAAGTCCAAAGGCCTCGGAACCAGGGAAACCAATGGTGGAACTCTCAGTCCAAGGCCAAGAACCCCGGGGGGAGGAGAGGTTGCACCAGTGTGAGACCCAGGGTCCAAAGGCCAGAGAGCCTGGAGTGCTGATGTCCAGGGGCAGGAAAGGGTGTCTCCACTCCAGAACAGAGAGAGAAAATAATTCACCGTTCCTGTGCCTTTTTGTTCTCTCCAGGCCTCTGGCCGATCAGATGGTGCCCCCAACATTGAGGGTGGATCTTCCCCACTCAGTCCACAGACTCACATGCCAATCTCCTCTGGAAACACCCTGCTTTGCCATTTCTTGAGTTTCCTTTATCCAGTCAAATTGACACCTAAAATAAACCAGCACACATTGCAATCCAGATGCCTCTTCTTTTCCCTGCCTTGTTGCACTGACTGGACTATTCAACAGTATTGAGTAGATGTGGTGAGAGCAGATGTCCTGGTCTTCTTCCTGATTTTAGGGATTAAGTATCATGTTAGCTCTAAGTTTTTCATAGATGTTTATTACCAGGTTGTAGGAGTGCCCTCCTATTCCAGGTTTGCTGAGAGTGTTGTGTGTGTGTGTGTGTGTGTGTGTTTTTTACCATGAATGGCCGTTGGGTTTTATCTTTTACTGCATCTTCTTAGATGTTCCTATTTGTTATCTTCTTGAGTCCACTTAAATAGTGAATAACATTGACTTCTGAGTGGTGAGCCAACCTTGCATTCCCGAGATCAACCCCACTTGGTCATTTTTTCCTCAATGTGTCCAGTCCACTGCTGACCCTGTCTGTCAGAGGCATTCTTCATCTCTGTGCCTGTGTTTTTCATTTCTAATTTCTGCATTTGACTGTTCCTCATTGCTTCCATCTCTCTGCCTTACCCCCATCTCTGTTACCTTACCTCCATCTCTCTACCTTACCCCCATCTCTGCTACCTTACCTCCATCTCTCTGTTACCTTACCTTGGTGATTCTGTATCTTGTTCACCTTTTCCACTGAAGCTGCATCTGCCCCAGGTAAGTGCTCATGTCTCTCCTTGGAGACTCTGTCTTTTCCCTAGAATTTGGGTTAGTTTGCTGCCCTGTGACCTCGGCTGACTGATGGGTTCAATGTAAGTTGGGAATTTGCAGAGCTCAGTGTCCTGTTGCTGCTGCTGTTGTGATGTCAGGGCCACGTTCTTTCCAGCTTTGGAATGTGCAGAGCTCAGTGTCCTGTTGCTGCTGTTGTGGTGTCAGGGCCACATTCTTTCCAGCTTTGGAATGTGCAGAGCTCAGTGTCCTGTTGTTGCTGTTGTGATGTCAGGGCCACGTTCTTTCCAGCTTTGGAATTTACAGAACTCAGTGTCCTGTTGCTGCTGTTGTGATGTCAGGGCCACGTTCTTTCCAGCTTTGGAATTTGCAGAGCTCAGTGTCCTGTTGCTGCTGCTGTTGTGATGTCAGGGCCACGTTCTTTCCAGCTTTGGAATTTACAGAACTCAGTGTCCTGTTGCTGCTGTTGTGATGTCAGGGCCACGTTCTTTCCAGCTTTGGAATTTGCAGAGCTCAGTGTCCTGTTGTTGCTGTTGTTGTGATGTCAGGGCCACGTTCTTTCCAGCTTTGGAATTTGCAGAGCTCAGTGTCCTGTTGCTGCTGCTGTTGTGATGTCAGGGCCACGTTCTTTCCAGCTTTGGAATTTGCAGAGCTCAGTGTCCTGTTGTTGCTGTTGTGATGTCAGGGCCACGTTCTTTCCAGCTTTGGAATTTGCAGAGCTCAGTGTCCTGTTGCTGCTGCTGTTGTGATGTCAGGGCCATGTTCTTTCCAGCTTTGGAATTTGCAGAGCTCAGTGTCCTGTTGCTGCTGCTGTTGTGATGTCAGGGCCACGTTCTTTCCAGCTTTGGAATTTGCAGAGCTCAGTGTCCTGTTGCTGCTGTTGTGATGTCA